ATTCTGATTCTGAACCCGGACGCCGCAGCGTCTGTGACCTCTGCCACGTCCGCCGTTGTCATTTACAGCCTAGGGCCCCGACAGCCTCGACGTCGCCTATAGCACACGGTGTCCGTGTGTGCTTCTAGGTAGACTCAGCCTTTAAACGCGTTACCCGGTGCGGTGTGTAAACATCAGCAGTACCGGGGATACGAAGGCGATCGAGCGTGGTTCTGGCCACGCCGGAGGTCCACTCAGCCTTAAAGGAGCACCTGGTGCGGTGTGTAAACATCGGCTCAAGGCACTCGCGACTACAACTTGCCCAGGCGTACTTCGTACCCCACGTGTGTAGCAATGCGTGTAAGCACGTGTATGATATTAACATCGATTGCAGGCCGATCAGCGAACCACGTGGTAAATCAAACGCGTAATAATGATATGTTTATAGTTCTGCTAAGTTTTATTTTTACATGACTTCCTTTCTTGAGACGCGAGAGCTGTGTTTAGATGTGTGTATATATATAAGTCGATAATCACGTACAATAATGTGCATCCGTTTGTCTCTATAATGCACAGGGCTGTATCTGTGCCGTTCTTCTATGATATTGTAATAGGGTGCATGCGTGATGGTGCTTGTGATGGTGATGATTGGTGTTGGTTTGTCTTTTTAAACACAGTTGTTGAGCACAGAGGGCCGAACGTGTAAAACTGCAAGCAGCCAGCAACAAACAGCACCTTTATCAACGTTGCAACGTAAGTGCGAGTGTAACACGTGTAACACGTGCAACACGTGCGGTGAACTGATAAGAGCTTGGCATGAGAAACGATGATGGGATGTGGGAAGTCCAACGTGGAGCAGGCGACTGGATGAGTGAGTCAGTGGGTGGGTTAGTGAGTGGGTGAGTGAGTGGGTGGGTGAGTGAGTGAGTGGGTGAGTGAGTGGGTGGATTAGTGAGTGGGTGAGTGAGTGGGTGAGTGGATGGGTTAGTGAGTGGGTAGGTGGGTGAGTGAGTGAGTGGGTGGTTGAGTGAGTGGGTGAATGAGTGGGTAGGTGGGTGAGTGAGTGAGTGGGTGAGTGGGTGGGTAAGTGGGTGAGTGGGTGAGTGATTAGGTGAGTGAGTGAGTGGGTGAGTGAGTGGGTGATTTGGTGAGTCAGTGAGTGAGTGGGCGAGCGAGTGAGTCGGTGAGCGAGTGACTTGTTGTGACCTGCATTGTCATGAGTGCATGAGTGAGTGAGTTGTTGTGACCTGCAGTGTGGTGAGTGAGTTGCTGTGTTGTGAGTACTTAGTACATGTGATGTTTTTACAGGGCGCCTGGTTTATCCGCTGCTGAATGAAGACCTCCCCACGCTGTCAGCTGCTGCTGCCATCCATCTCACTCCTGGACATGAGCTGATCTGGTCGCTCCATCTCCGCGGCCATCGCCCTCTCAGGGCGGGTAGTGGGGGGTGGATTCTCTCCTTTGACTGCCATTCCATCTGCAAGTCTCGTCCACCTTCTGTCGAGCGAGGCGTCCATGCCCTCGGGCACCTCATTTTCCTCTTCTTCAAAATGACATCCCTGATTTGTGTGAGTTCCCTGGCCCACAGAGTCCATGTGCACACACGTGTGCATGGATATAGCTGATGCGTGCGTAGATGTTGTGGGATACTCACCAGGGCACGACAGCGCGTGTACACGCGTGTGTGTGAACTTAGAGATTCGTTTTTCGCACCGTACGTAGCCAACCGTGCTAATCGGAGGAGTGCATTGTGTTTGAGTGTAGTGGGGAGCGGTGGCACAGTGGTTAGCACGCTGCGCTTGGAACCCGGCGACATGAAATCCATTCCCACTCACGGTCACCAACATCAGTGACGATGATCTCAAACCTGTCCCGGGCCTCCCCTAGGTCGACTCCAATGAGTACCGAGTTGCGATGTGTTCACATCGCCACTAGGGAGACAAAGGCGGTCGGGCGTGGTGCTGTCCACCCAACCTCTCACGTGCCGTGACGACCTTTATAACAGCACTTACCCCTGCAGTCTGTTAAGGCTATACGGGGGGCCTTTGTCTTTGTGTGCTGACTACAACTGAGACGCTGCAGAGGCGGTTCGCGTTCCTGACGGTGGCACGTGCGCATTCAACGCGTGCCGCGATTATGGCCCGTGGACCGAAACGTCGTCTTCATGTTCTGTCGCTTTGAATTGGGAACTACTCTCGTCGTATTTTGTTTGTTTGTTTGAACCCCTGACCCGGTACGACTGGTGCAGTGCTTGGCGGCACTTCGCCGGCGTGAACCCCTCGTCCAGAGTCGGTGTCCTGGCCACGGCTGCCATCAGTGGCGATGTGGCATCGCCAAGTCGTCTCGGCTCTCCGTACCCTCTTCGTCACCAGTGCGGTGAAGTATGGTCAAACAACACCCCACTCCATACGCCCCCACAGCAGGCTGAACGTGATTTAATATGTAATGTTATGTTACCTGTTGGATAACGTGACTTGGAACCTGCACAATGCACACGATCTCTCGCGATGCACAATCGTTGATGCAATGGGATAGAGGTTGGTGTGTGTGTGTGTGTTGGACTTCCTTCGCACCGTACGTAGCCAACCGTGCTAATTGGAGGTGTCTGGGGGGGGGACAACAAACTGAACACAACAACAACAAGCAGTTCTAAAGTAAATTATTAAAAAGTACATCGAGTCGTGGGATCATTCAAATTGCCCCCGTTGAATAGTAATAATAGTAGTAGTAATACGGTCGTCGTTGTAATTGGGCGACCTCCGATGACAATGAGACCCCACGCCGCAGCAAGACACTCGACTCGTTTAAGGCTGAGTCGACCTAGAGGGGAGGCCCACGAACTCGGGGGGGGGGGGCGGGGGGGGTTGTCCTGGTTCCCAGTGCGCCGCCGCGCACCACAATCAACAAAGACAAAGATCCCCCGTGCAGCCTCAACACAGTGTTGGGGCAAGTGCTGTTAGCGAGTAGCACCGATGACGCTCGACACGGCGCGCGACCGCCTTTGTCATCGCAGTCGCGACGTCTGTACGCCGCACCAGGTGCTCTTTTTAAGGCTGAGTCGACCTAGGGGTGGCACACACACACAAGCACGCAGACGCGCGTTACTAATTTTTTTTCCAACTGCTTTTCGTGTTTAGTTTGTTGCCCTTCCCCCCGCACCGCCGATAGGCACGGTGAACTACGTACGGTGCGGAAGAAGTTCAACACACACACACGCGCGCGCGCGTCCATGGCACAACGGCGCTGTGCCGTAGGATGCAGACGACGACCTCGACGTCAACCAGGCGCGAGCACGTGGACGCGTTGCACGTACTCGACGCGTGGACGCGTTGCACGTACCCGACGCGTGGACGCGTTGCACGTACTCAATGTGTGGACGCGCTCGTGTGTTGCATCACAACGTCCGCCTTTGATCGGCGCGCAAACAGTGCGTGGATCTCTCTCTCTCGTGGATCTCTCTCTCCACCGCAGGGACCGCGCGGTGCGTGCGGCGGCCTCCGGCGGGCCTCCGTCGAGCAGTGGATAGATTGTGCCCCATTGATGACTCACGATGTCCGTGCGTGTCTGTGTGCTCGCCGGTGTGATGCTGTGTTCGCTTCACGCGCGCCCACAGCAACACGCAGGCAGATCGAGCTCGGATGACAGACGTGCACCAACACACGCCTTCACAGGCTGCTGCTGGGGCAAGTGCTGTTAGCGAGCAGCGAAGGTCTGCATGGAATACGAGAGGGGGGCAGCTCCACGCCCGGCCGCCTTTGTCTCCCCAGTGTTGATGTTTTACACACACACACCGTCACCGATGCTGTTGGCCGCGTGCGGGAATTGAACTCGGGTCACCCGATTTGTAGCGCATTGCGCTAACCACTACACCACCGCTCCCCCGACACACGCTAACTCACACCCCCAGATAAACACACACACACAACTCACTCGCTCACGCAAACACACACGCGCACACACTCTCATTCACACGCACTATCACACACACTCAGGCACACGCATACATACACACACTCGCACACACACAGGAAAAACACAAAGACACACACTGACACACGCTGACACACGCTGACACACACACACACTGGCACACACACTGGCACACACTGACACACACACACACTGGCACACACGCTGACACACGCTGACACACACTGACACACACACACACACTGGCACACACACCCTCGCTCACCGTTCGGGCCTCGATAGGCGCTCGTTGTGGTCACTTGTGCGTAACTCAAGCGTCGCTTACGCGTGACCATAACGTCGAGTTAAGTTCCAGGACAGGAGCGCGATCATGTTTCCCGTAAGTCAAAAGTCGTCGAGTGGCGGTGAGATTATTAGGGTTAGTGCGAGTGAGCTTTAAAGTATGTTAGTAAGAGTGTTGGTGAGTGTAAGAGTGCGGTTAGCACTACGCTGCGCTACGAACCCGGCGATCCGAGTTCGATTTCCGCTCACGGCCAACACCGGTGACGATTATCTGAAATGCTCCTGGGCCTCTCCTAGGTCGGCTCAGCATCAAATGAGTACCTGGTACGCTGTGTAAACATCGCCACTGGAGAGACAAAGGCGGCCGGGCGCGGTGCTGGCCACCCACCTCCTCGTGTGCTGTGCCGGCCTTCATAGGTGCTCGCTAACAGTACTTTCCGCAACAGCCTGTTAAGGCTATACGGGGTATCTTTGTCTTTGCCTTTGGCAGTTAGCGTGTGTTCGTACAAATGTTAGTGGGAACGTTCGTATGACTGTATGAGTGCGAGTGCTAATGTGGCGAGTGTTGGGTCTGTGAGTGTCTCATGAGTGTGTTAGTGACCGTGTCAGTATTAAATAGACTGTCATGTTTTAGTTGTTCGGCCTCATGTTAGTGCGGGCGTTAGTGAATATGTTAGCAAGAGTGTGAATTATTGTATTCGTGGAAGTGTCAGTGAGAGTGTGAGAGAGTGTGTCAATGGACGTGCCAGTGAAAGTGACTGAATGTGCCAGTGAGAGTGTGGATCCCAAATCAACCGACATCCGCGTCATAAAAAATAACCCATTCTCTTTAATTCAAATTTCTCGCGCAGAGAGGGGGGAAAAACAAACAAATAAACAAAACATAGTCAAGAATTGTAGCTTCTATCAAAACACCGAAATGAAACAATAACAACAAATAAATAACAAGGAGATCAATTGAATCGCTTTTAAAGTGTAAAAAAAAATTCAATATCGCAAGCACACCAAACACAATTGTCATTGGCATTAATAAATTACGTACAAAAAAATCATCATCATGATTATTACCATGATAATAATTATTATTACAATAAGAAAAAATCAAGCACGCTGTTCTCGATTCGACAAACACCAGTGACCCGAGTCTGCCCGAAAGCGTCGCGGCTCCGACGGGCCCACGTGGGGCATCGGACAGACCCAGTCGAGGCATCAATTGTAATGACGTAGGCACCGTGGATCAGTAGTTCATAGGTCAACCCTGATTTACACCGCAGTATGAAAACCCAAAAGGAAAGAAAACAGTCTCTGTGTTGCACTGTCATAACCACCACCACCACCACCTTCATCACCATCATCATCTTCACCATCACTATCATCATCACCATCATCATCTTCACCATCATCATCATCATCGACGGTCCTCTAGCCCTGGTGCTATTCAAATAGTCACACGACGTAGAAGAAGAGAAAGTGTCTTCCTGTTCAAGCGTTGGTGACCCAGAGGTCAGCAGTAAAGTGGAAATTCCACATTCGCATGGCGGGCGGCCAGTCTCTCCCACTCTCCCCGACCCTGCAGGGATGATTGGCCAAGCGACGCGAACCTCCCCCCCCACCCCCCACTCGCTCGCCGAGATGATTCACGTCAACAAACTCGCAACCTTCGCGATTGAGAGTCGAGCACCCAGACCACCGTGCAAATAATTACGCGCGGAGCCATTAATTAGTTCGTGTCGCACATACGTCCACACACACACACATATATAAACAAAGCACCACGGACGTAGAGATGCGCGCGGTTCTGGGGAGTCGCCGACGGCCACGGCGCCCCCCTCACGAGTCGAAGCGCCTGAATCTGTGGCTGGGGGGCAAAGGCAGCACAGCCCCCCCCAGGCGCCACCTCCACACGGGGTGGCCGCTGTGACCCTGAGAGCAGCTCACGGAGTAGGCGGGGCACAGGTCCCCGTCGGAGCCCACCACCAACGACGCCGGGGACGCGAAATTCCCCATCAAGTCGAAGGCCCTCTTGCCCAGCGCCGCCGCACTGGCCACCGCCGCGGTCGCCACGTCCGCCGCTGCCGCCGTCGCTTTGCGCTTCCTCGGCCCGGAGGAGCGCGCCGCTGGCGAAGAGGTCGCGGTGCACGGATCGGCCGCGTTCCCTGAGACGAGGCCGGCAGGGCCCGCCCTGTGCCTCGATGATCGCGTCTGCACCCGGTCTCCTCCTCTTCCTCTACTCCTCTCCACTCCATTCTTCTCTCCTTCACTACTCTCCCATCCACTCCTCTCTCCTCTACTCCTCTCCACTCCATTCTTCTCTCCTTCACTACTCTCCCATCCACTCCTCTCTCCTCTACTCCTCTCCACTCCATTCTTCTCTCCTTCACTACTCTCCCATCCACTCCTCTCTGCTTCAATTCTCTCCGCTTTAATCATCTCTCCTCCACTCCGCTCTGCTCCACTCCGCTTTGCTCCACTCTTCTCCGCTCCACTCCTGACTTTGTGAGTGTTGTCTTCTCCAGCCCCGTCTTGGTGGTTCCTGTGCTCACGGTTCCGATCTCCCCGAGTCCTCTCTTTATCACGAACCGCTTCACGAGCGCCGCCTTCACGAGCCCCGTCTCCTCGCCTCGCGTCTCGTGGACTCGAATCTTCGCGATGCCCGTCCACGTCTGCCCGAACATTTGTTTCGCTGTTGCTCTGTTTATGGGCCTTGTCTGTAGTGGCCCTTTGGCCGTGAGGTATGCATTCGTGAGCCCTCTCTGCCACCTCCCGGTCCTCACGGCTCCCGTCTTGACGAGACATCTCTTCCTGGGGTCGTGGTTCACGGGCCCCGGCTTTACCGGCCCTGCCTTCACGAGGCCGATAATCAATAGTCCTACGCTTAAGGTCCCGACCTGTGTTATCCCTGCCATCACTAACCCTACCTTCACTAACTCTACCTTCACTACCATTACCATCACTAACTCTACTCTCACTAACCCGGCCTTCACTAACCCTACCTTCACTACCATTACCATCACTAACTCTACTCTCACTAACCCGGCCTTCACTAACCCTACCTTCACTACCATTACCATCACTAACTCTACTCTCACTAACCCGACCTTCACTAACTCTACTCTCACCACCCCTGCCCCCACTACCCTTGCCCCCACTACCCTTGCCCCCACTACCCTTGCCCCCACTACCCATGCCTTCACTCACCTTACCTTCGCCAGCCCTGCCAACACGAGCTCTATCTCCCCGCGTCTGCCCTTTGCAACACGTGCCCGCTGGTTGCGCCCCCTTGCACGAGGTGTGTGCGCTTAAAGTGCGTTCAGGTCGCGTGCTCGCTTGCTTTGAGGTAGTCGAGGTGGCGGCATTACCGTGGCGAACACTACTACTGCTACGACAACAACAACAACTGTTGCTGTTACAACATCTACTGAGGCTGTTGCTAGCCTTGCTGCTGCTGCTGCTGATTTCGGGCATCTCTGGGCTGGAGCCCCGAGCGAGCGTCTCGCCTCTGGTCGAGGTTTCCAGGGTCTTTGACCCTTTCCTCCTCCTCGGAGGTCGAGGTTGCGCTGCTCTCACGCACAGCTGACGTTCAACTTTAGAATCGGCGGCGGCAGCAGCAGCAGCTACAGCAGGAGCAGAGGGCACAGCGACAGCAGTGACAGCAGCGGTGGCAGCAGCAGCGGTGACGAGATTAGCAGCAGCACGGGCGACAGAGCCAGCCGTAGCGGCGACAGCGACATCGTCGCCATCGTCGTCAGAAACGACGACAGCGGCAGCTCTCCGCCTTTTCCGAGCAGCGCGTAGGGCAGCGTGGCCATCAACAACCCCTGCCGCCGCCGTCGTCTTAATCAACAACAACGACGACGATGATGACAGTGACGATGTCCATGATGATGATGCTAACGTCGTTGATGATGACGTCAATGATGATGATGTTGTTGTTGATGATGATGGCACTGATGATGATGATGCTGTTGTTGATGATGATGGCACTGATGATGATGATGCTTTTGTTGATGATGACGTCAATGATGATGATGTTGTTGTTGTTGCTGATGATGGCACTGATGATGATGATGCTTTTGTTGATGATGACGTCAATGATGATGATGTTGTTGTTGATGATGATGGCACTGATGATGATGATGTTGTTGATGATGATGGCACTGATGATGATGCTTTTGTTGATGATGATGGCACTGATGATGATGCTTTTGTTGATGATGATGATACTGATGATGATGCTGTTGTTGATGATGATGGCACTGATGATAATGATGCTGTTGTTGATGACGATGGCACTGATGATGGGAACAACGAGGAAGACCGCTGGAACACTCCGGCGTCTCTTCTGCTGCCGGACGGCCGCGACCTCCCGCGCGCGTTCCGCTGCTGCTCGACTCGCGTCCGACGCGGCGCGGATTTGACGGCAACCGCGATTCGCGCCCCTCCGCGCTCATCAGCAGCGCTCCGAGACATCTTCCGTAACTTCCGCTCATTAACTTTCTCTTCCTCCTCCTCCTCGTCATGCTCATCACCACCACCAACACCGTTACCGTTCTTACGATCTTCATAATCGCCACCATTCTTCCGCTCACCACCACCGTAATCCTTCTTGGTTACGTGACCACCGCCACCACCACCACCGTTGTAATCCTTCTTCCGTTCGTCGGCAACGCCGTCGAGACCAGCCCGCTCGCCACCGCGGAGCGAGCGAGCCGGCAAGCCGCGGCGCGGGCGTCCAGCGGCGGGGGCGACGTGGAGGAGGGAGGGGGCCGTGGGCCGCGCTTCGCCCCGCAGGAGGAGGGCGTGGAAACTCGGAGCGGCGGCGGCGCTGCGCTCCCCCCACACGCTTCCCCTGGGCCCCGCGGGGGACACAGCGAGACCCCCAAACAAGGGCTGCTGCTGCTGCTGCTGCTGTTGCTGCTGTTGCTGCTGTTGTTGTTGCTGCTGGAACGCGCCCCCGCCGTAAGCGTTCCCAGCGCCGAGCGCCGCGGGGCCCGGGTGCCGGAATCGGATGCTCTGCATCGAGGCCCGACTCGAGGCCGAGTCGGAAGAGGCGGCGTCCATGTCGTTCTCATCGTCGTCATCCTCGTCGTCATCCTCGTCGTCGTCACTCGCCGATGTCGCCTCCGAGGTGGAGCAGAACGTGGAGTCATCCTCATCACCATCATCGTCATCATCATCGTCCTCTTCATCGCCGTCGGCTTCGTGGTAATCGTAGTGGTAAACACGAGCATCGCCGCCACTGCCGCCGCCTTTTCGTTTGGCCGGTCTCACCCTCCTGCACCCCCCTCCTGCCGTCTCGCCTGGCTCGTTGTAATCGTAAACACGGTCGCTGTCTAAACTTTCTTCCGCCGCCGCAGCCTCCTCGTCATCATCATCGTCACAGTAATCATCGTCATCATCATCATCGGAGTCGGAGTCCGTCCCTGCGACGCTGCACGCGTTGCGCGCGACTCGCGCCTCCTCCTCCTCCCGCGCTGCGCCCCACGCCGCCTGCCGCTGCTGCTGCTGCCGCTGCTGATGCCGCTGCTGATGATGCTGCTGATGCTGCTGCTGATGCTGCTGCTGCCCGCCGCCGTGACCCCTCGCCGCCGGGGCGCAGGCGAGCGGCTGCCCTCTCTGCCGCGTTAATCCGGGAACAAAGGTTGCCACCTTGTCCACCTCCTCCGCGCGGTGGCGCTTCTTCCTCTTCTGCTGCTGCCGCCGCCGGAGCTGCTGCTGCTGACTGGGCGCAACTTTTCCCGCTGGCGGATGCGCGAACGAGGAGGACGTCTCCACGAGCACCTCGCCCGGCGCCGCCGCCGTCCTGCGCGAGGAACCCGTCAGGCAGTAGCCGAGCGGCGCGCCAGCGGACGCCGCCGTGATCGTGCTGTCGCTCGGCATCATCATCATCATCGTCGTCGTCGTCGTCAGCGACGCAGATGCCGACACCTGCACGACGGAGCGGTTCACGACGGCCACGGTGCCTCGCGCCGGTGACGACGCCGCCGCCGCGGCCGCGGCCGCCACCGCCGCGAAGGAGGAGGAACTTGGAGGCGCGGAGCCGAGGAGTAGAGGCCGCCAGTCGAAGCCGCCGCCGCCGCCTCCCGGCCACGCCGCGTCCACCGTCGGGGAAACGCGCCGCGCGGAAAGCTTCGGGGGAGCGCGGTGGTGGTGGTGGTTGTGCTGCTGCTGCGGGTGGTGGTGGTGGTGGTTGTGTTGCGGGTGGTGGTGCTGCTGATGGTGGTGGACGAGCAAGACGCTCCCTGCATCCTCACCGAGACGGTTTTCCTTCGCCGAGGAGTTTGAGTTGCAGTCGCTGAATGAGGTCGCGTCTTCGGCGGGGAGAGTTCGTGACCACCGCTGCTGCTGCAGCTGCAGCTCTTGCTGCTGCTGTTGCTGCTGCTGCTGCTGCTTTTGCTGCTGCTTCTTCTGCTGCTGCTGCTGCTTCTGTTGGACTCTGCGCCTCTTAGTCCTGAGCACTCGCTCGGAGCGACACGAGCGGTAGAGAGCTTCAACGTCCCTGCGCGAGATAAGCGTGCACTTGGCGGCGTGGAAGGCGATGGAGCGCATCTCCTTGAGCTCGCGCAGGCCCTGCAGGTCGCAGTAGTGCTTCGTCACGTTCAGGTGGTCCATGCGCTTGTGCACCGTGGTGCGCGGGATGTTCTTGAGCAGGTCGGTGAACACCTGCGACAGGGCGAACATCTGTGCGCCGCCGACCAGCAGGTAGCCGAGGCTCACTCCGTCCACGGACGCGAAGCCCGAACGAGGCAGACCCGTGGTGCCGTTGGGCCAGTGGAGGCCACCACCACCTCCTCCACCTCCTCCGTGTGGCCTCTTTATCGCGGCCGAGTAGAGAGGTGGCTTTGAAGCGCCCAGAGGAGAGGCGCTCAATATCGTAGTGTTCGCCATGCAGCGCTTCTGCAACGAAATATGCGCAGGTGAGTGAGTGTGTGTGTGAGTACATGGTGCTGTGTGCAAATGTCGCCACTGGGGAGACGAAGGCGGCCGGGCGAGGTGCTGGCCACCCACCCGCTCGTGCGTGGTGCCGGCCGTCGTAGGTGCTACTCGCTAACAGCACTTGCCCCAACAATCTGTTAAAGGCTATACGGGGGATCTTTGTATTTTCAGTGAGAACGTGTGTGTGTGCGTGTGAGAACGTGTCTGTGTGAACGTGTGTGAGAACGTGTGTGTGAGAACGTGTGTGTGCACGTGCGATGAAGCACACACCTGTACGCAAATGCGGGCAATTGTAAATACAGTCGTGCAGGTACTGTACGCGCGTGCAATCGTAACCTCGAACAATCACACACACGAAGATGTCATGCCAGACACATTGTCGGGCGTGGAGCACAATCGCCACGTTCATTATACACGAGGGTCTACAATCGTAGACACGCTGCCATACAAAGATCCCCCGGAAAGCCTGCACAGACTTTTGGGGCAAGTGCTTGTCACGTGCACGCGGACACGTGCGAAAATATAACAATCAAATACCGGCTCTTGTAATCACACACACACACACTCGCTCATGCAATCAGACCCCACTCTCTCATACAATCACATACACACATATACACACACACTCCCATACAAGACAAAAGAGAAGATTCACCGGATAGCCTTAACAGGCTGTTGGGGCAAGTGCTGTTAGCGAGCACCGATGCCGACCGCCTTTGTCTCCCTAGTGGCTATGTTTACACACCGCACCAGGTACTCATTTGAGACCGAGTCGACCTAAGGGAGAGCCAGGACCGGTTCAGCTAATCCTCAATGGTGTTAGTAGCCGTGAGCGGGAATCGAACTCGGGTCGCCGGGTTCGTAGCGCAGCGCGCTAAGCGCTACACCGCCGCTCCCTATACAACCACAACCACATATACTCTCTCTCACACACACTCCCATACAATCCCTCACATACATACATACACATACATACACCCCCATACAATCACACACACACACCGTTAACAATCACACGCACGCTCTCACCACAGTGGCATACACACGCACAGACACGCACGCGGAATCGACGCGGACACATCAAACGCCGACTACACACTCGCCTCCTTTGTGTTATTTAAACCATCGTAACGGCAACTGAAACATACGATTACAATTAATCCGCACTACCGTCATTGTTTTAATATCGCTGCTGCTTGCAAGCACAGCGATACCCCTTCCCGCATTCACTTAAATCGCTCCAGCGCCCACGCCCGCTCTCCCCTTTGTCCATCTACCGCTGGATGGATGGATGCCTCTCCACGCCGCCGCCGTGCGTCGTGGACACGTAGGAGTCGTTTGACCATACTTCACCGCGCCGGTCACTCGGTGAGAGTTGTGCCGGCGACACGCCGCTTCACTCGCCGCTGGCGTGTCGAGCCGTGACCGGCTGGGGGGGCTGGGTAGGGAGGGGTGGTCGGTCCGAGGTGCAGGCGGGTGTCGTCATCACGCAAAATCAGGCGAAACAGAAATATATAGAGAGAGACACAGACAGAGAGAGAGAGACAGACAGACAGACAGAGAGAGACACAGACAGAGACACAGAGAGAGAGACAGACAGAGAAAAACACACAGACAGAGAAACACAGACAGAGAGAGAGAGACAGACAGAGAGACAGACAGAGAGACAGAGAGAGAGAGACACACACAGAGAGACACAGAGAGAGACACACAGACAACCGAGAGAGACAGACAGAGAAAGAGACAGACAGGGAGAGAGAGACAGACAGAGTGAGCGAGACAGACAGAGAGACAGACAGAGTGAGCGAGACAGACAGAGAGCGCGAGACACAGACAGAGTGAGCCCCTTCACCCACATACCTCCACACTCATCCGAATCTGAGCAGCGGCAGACGCCGAGTCGCTTGCGACTGCAAGCGACGTTGCTCCCGGTTGACGCAACCGAGTCGCCCGCGCATGGGTGAAACTTGTAGTTGCTGCTGCTGCCACTGGCGATGAGTCGCGTGGATGATGCGGTGGTGGCGGCCTCGGCCGGCGCCACTCGCTGTGCGGCCGGCAAGAGGCGTGCAGGCGCGCAGACTGAGGCCGCTCCTCGCCAACCACCTTCGGCAATTAATTTCATCGAGACGCGCTCCGATTGGACGGCGCAGACAGGTCACGGAGAGGAACCCCCACCACAAACCCCCCCTCCCTCCCTCCCCCTCGTCGTCGTCTCCCCCCCCACCACCATCGCTCTCTCCCTCTTCCACCCTCCCCCCTCCTCCTCCACCGTCCGCCCCTAGCCCCCCTATTCCATTCCCCCATCGTTCTTCCAGCCACCCAGGCATCGTCCCTCTGCGCCCCCCCCCCCTTCTCTCGCTCGCACACGCGACTCGAGCATCACAATGCCCACCTCTCTTCATCCAACACGACGATCCCACGGTAGAGCCTTTAACAGACTGTTGGGACGAGTGTTGTTCGTGAGCACCTATGAAGGCCAGCACACACACGCACACATGCGTGTGCGTGTGTGTGCTGGCCACCCACCCCCTCGTATGCCGTGCCGGCCTTCATTGATGCTGCTATTCGCGAACAGCACTTGCCCCAACACTCTGTTAAAGGCTATAAGGGGGGTCTTTGTCTTTGTGTACACACGCACACACGCACACCCCCGCACCGCTTTCCTCCTCCTCCGCCTTCTCCCCGCTCCCTACCCCCCACGAGCACCCCCCCCCCCACACACAGAGAGAGATTTGCATGACGCCGCAGTTCGCCTTATCTCGAGGAAAGTCAATCAACGTGCAGAGACAGTCGGCGGCAATTGAAGTAACGAGTCGAAGGTTGTGCGGGTGTGGACGTGGTCCGTGTTGGGGACGCCGGCCAGGAGCCGCCAACCCGGCAGAGACCCCAGTTCGATTCCCGTTCACGGCCACCAACACCGGGGGGGGGGGGGGGCGACAATTATTCTGTACCGGGTCCTGGGTCTCGCCGAGGTCGACTCAGTCTCAAAATGAGTGCCTGGTGGGATGCGTGATTGACGCGTAAACGTCGTCACTGGCGAGACAAAGGCGGCCGGGCTCATGCTACCCCGGGGGGAGGCATATTTGTCTGTATGGGGAATAACAGCGCAGAAGGCGTCGCCTCCTGCTGCATGCGATCTCGACCGAGCAATGCTCGTCGCGATTTCATCACAATCTTTTTTCACGGCGGCGTGAGCACCGCCAAAGCGAGAGATTCCCAGCAGTCGCTTGATTCAGTTGACGTGGGAGTTCGCAGACGGAGATCGTGACGCGTCCCAGAGACACAGAGACAGAGGAGAGAGAGAGAAGAGAGAAATACAGGGAAGAGAGAGATACAGAGGAGAGAGAGAAAGACAGAGGCGAGAGAGAGACAGGGGAGAGACAGAGGGAGATCCCTTCCGCGTGGAGATGGAGCGAGCGACATTTCGCCTCGGTCGTGCGTTGCTCCTGGGTGTCATCGAGTCGCGAGATCGCGAGAGACGGCGACGGCCTTGTGGAGGCGTTCTTCCTCCAGAAGTGGATCGAGCACGATGGTTGCTTGGTGTGAGCGAATCGATGATGTGTGCTTGTGCGTGTGGCGACAGGGTGGCCCAAAAATCCGGACACAGGTTTATTTCATTTATTTTAACACCGGTTTAACAAAAAAAAAACATTTTCAAGTTAATATTTTATCGATGATAATGATCGATCGTTTGCGTTCGTTTTCGTGTGAGGTTTCTAAATGGAAAGACGAGTCGCTAAAGAGGAGCGAGTTCAATTCGTGTTTAATATACGCTGAAGAAGGCAGCTGTAATCTTAAAAAAGGGTGTCTTCAATTAATTTAAATGAATTTCCAATGTTATTGATCATCAGTTTGAGCGTGTGTTCAAATAAAATAAATAACCCGATGCGATTTGTTAAAATAAATATAACCCTGTGTCTTTACTTTTGGGCCGCCCTGTATGTGTACACATTATATATACAAAGACAAAGATCCCCGTAAAGCCTTAATAGACTGTTGGGGCAAGTGCTGTTAGCGAGCACCTATGAAGGGCAGAACGGTACACGTGGGGCGGTGTAGCCAGCAACCACGCCCGGCCGCCTTTGTCTCCCGAGTGGCGATGTTTACGCACCGCACCAGGTACTCATTTGAGGCCGAGACGATCTAGGGGAGGCCCAAGACCGGTTCAGATAATCGTCAGCGGTGTTCGCTGTGAGCGGGAATCGAACTCGGGTCGCCGGTTTCGTAGTGCAGCGTAGCGCTAACCGCTACACTACCGCTCCCCATTACATATATACGTACACACACACATATATATAGGATTGTGTACGAGTATATACCTCGTATGCGTTCGTGTACACGGACAGATTTGATTACCAACAAGGGAGAGCGCCCTCTGAACCTGTTCTGGCCACACGCTCCCTTAACCAAGCCGACAATGACCCACGTGGTGAAGTATGGTCAAACACCCCCCCCCCCTTCACCAACTCCACCACCCCATGACCGGCACGGCGTTAGTGGAGGCATTTATTCATTGGCATTGACAAAGGCGGGCTGTACATTATTTATTCACACAAAACAGCAGCGGTCACACTCCGTGTATGCGAGGTGTTACTGTGTGCGGCGTGTGTGGATGTGAAACATTGGCTCCGTTGGTTTTCAGTGTTCCATAAATATATATTGTTTTAAAACAACGAAACACGGAAGGTTTCGCAGAACGAGCACCGGTGGAGTCCGTCGCCGATGCCTGGAACTGCGTCGCGAGCAGTTCCACCGCGATAGACACCCACGGCCACGCAGCAGGCACGGGGACGAACACACAGACAACAACACAGACAACAACATAGACAACAGACAACAACACAGGCAATAACACAGACAACAACACAGACAACATAGACAACAACACAGGCAACATAGACAACAACACAGACAACAACACAGACAACACAGACAACAACACAGGACAACATAGACAACAACACAGACAATAACACAGACAACAACACAGACAACATAGACAACAACACAGACAACACATACAACATAGACAACAACACAAACAACACAGACAATTACACAGACAACAACACAGACAACACAGACAACATAGACAACAACACAGACAACATAGACAACATAGACAACAACACAGACAACAACACAGACAACACAGACAACATAGACAACAACACAGACAACACAGACAACACAGACAACATAGACAACAACACAGACAACATAGACAACACAGACAACAACACAGACAACATAGACAACAAGATAGACAACAACACAGACAATAACACAGACAACAACACAGACAGCACAGACAACAACACAGACAACAACACAGACAACATAGACAACAACACAGACAACATATACAACATAGACAACAACACAGACAACACAGACAATAACACAGACAACACATACAACATAGACAACAACACAGACAACACAGACAATAACACAGACAACAACACAGACAACAACACAGACAACAACACAGACAACATAGACAACAACACAGACAACATAGACAACAACACAGACAACACAGACAACAACACAGACAACACAGACAACATAGACAACAACACAGACAACATAGACGCCTGTCCCCCACACAGTCTCCAAGGTTAAAAACCAATCCCACCGAGGTCCATCAGCCCGCCCGCCTTGCGGCTTTTATTATTTTTATTATTAAAAACATTTCCAGGCCGCATTTTGTTTTGAAGCAAGCGGTTGCACGGGTTTCAACTCCCCCCCCCCCCCCACAATCTCATCAGCAGGGCTGCTGCCCGGTAAATACGTTGCGGCCCGCTCGATGCTGCTGATGTTATAGGCAAGAGCACCCCACCACCATCACCACCACTTACACCGTGCCCCCCCTGCCACCGCACGCATTCGTTGTCGCTAAAAGAGCAGAGGAGGAGGAAACGCGACGCGCATCTTGGCACAGACCCCCGACGTCGAAGGCGTTCAAACGCGCGTCCCCTTCCGTTCGGCATGGCACAGCGAGCGAGTGTGTGTGTGTGTACGGGGAGAGGGGGAGGCGAGTGTGTGTGTGTGTACGGGGGGAGGCGAGTGTGTGTGTGTGTACGGGGGGAAGGGGAGGCAAGTGCTGTTAGCGAGCACACATTAAAACCGGTACGGCGCAGTGGGGGGTGGTGGTGGTGGAACCACAACGTGGTATAAGACCCGACCGCCGGTCTTTGTCTCAGAATGCAGTTTGTGATGTGTATTCATATCCCGGCACCACCACCAGCCAGCAACCACCACCACCACCACAGCCATCATCGCACTCAGTGATATTCATGTGTGGGCGAGTCGGTCTGCGAGAGAGAGGCACAACAAAGCGGCGTTGTTTGTACTTGGAGACCCCCCCCCCCCCATCTCTCTCTCTCTCTCTCGCCACCCCCACGCGACCAGGAGTCGAACTCAGGTCGGCCGGGGGGTCGCAGCGACGCAGGAGACGCAACTCGCTGGGCAACAGCCGACTCGTACACAAGAGCGCACGCTCGGGTTAGTTGTTGTTAAGTAGAGGGTGATGAATGCTTACACAAACAACAACAACACAAACAACAACAACAAATCCGATAGAGGGACCAAGCACGCGCACTGCAGCGAGGGGAGATGCCCACGCGATTCCACAGTTTGTGTTTGTGTTGTTTGTGGTGTTCGTGATGATAAATCGTCGATTCATTTATTTCCCGTTCTGACGATAGCGGGCATCACTTCGGCGCGAACAAGGATCGATGATTTTGGTTGTTGTTGTTGTTGTTGTTTGTTGTTGCATGCGATGTTTTACGTCAATCCACTATGAAGACAACAACAACAACGACGATAATGATACTACTAGAACATCTGGAGTGGAAACAGTGGGAACGGTAGCGATGACGATGATGATGATAATAATCGAATCGTGATAATTAATCGAAACCGCTGCATTGGGATAATGTATGAAGGGAAGGGTGATTCGTTAAATGAGAGGCCGATATACTTGGTGACCCCCGTCATCTAGCAGCGGATTGACATGTTAGCGTACGTGTCTTCGTCACGTATGTGGGGAGCAGTGGCGCAGTGGTT